CTGACCCTCACTGGGGTACGGGCTCCCACGTACACTGACCCTCACTGAGGTATGGATCCCAATTATGTTGAATTTGTCAAACTGGACAGCGACTATAAATTGGCCATTCAACCCCACTGGCTGTTAGATTTCTGGGAAATTCCCATGAAACCAGCTGATTTCAGGAAGTGACATTACTTACCGGCATTTCATGAACGGTTGGCTGCTGGCTGCCATAGGTCTGGTTTGTCGTTCTGTACAGTGGGTTGGTTGTCCGAGATCTGTCAATTGTCATTCAATAAAATGCAAGTCTGGTGATAATCAGATATTAAACGTGCATTTATATAAATACTGTCTCTTGGGCTACTACTGAGCAAGGCCATTCAGCCAATCACCTTCCCATTGTTTACCACTGGTTGTTGATCAAACTATGACCTGGACAAGGCCGTTCAGCCTCTCTTCCTGTTCTTTCATTCTTTTATTGAAGGTTGACAGGTGTTTTAATTTCCATTACCTTGAAAAGTGTCATCAAACAATAATGAATGATTCGCTGTTTTGATTTTTTTTTCTCCTGCTGCTGCAAACACTCAGCACTCACCCTCCCTCAGATACAGTTCCACCGCTCGCTTTTTTTTGAGTGAGGAGGAAAGAGTTTCAGATTTCTGCACCCCTTTGTGAGGAATTACTACTTGATACCAACCTGAACAGCCCCAGGCTCTGATGTTAAGGTTCTACACCAGCACCCCCCCCACCCCTTTTTCGAAAGTCACAACACCCTCCCACACACCCATCCAGAGGAATTAGCTTATCTTTACAAACAATATTAGATAATTAAATTATCTTTAATGCCCTAACCAGATCAGACAAATGAGGAGGTCCAAGTGTTGGAATGGGGTGGACAAGGTCAGAAATCACACAATACCAGGTTATAGGGCAACAGGTATATTTGAAATCACAAGCTTTTGGAGCACTGCTTCTTTGTCAGGTGAAGTGAAGAGAAACACACAGGCAGAGAGATCAAAAGATCATACAAATGGTGTGAGTGGAGTGGTAACAGGCTGAATAATAAGTCCCTGCAGGTGATCAAAAGTGTCACATGGTGTGAATAAAGTGTCAACATCTGAATAGCAAGCGAAGGGATGCCCTATAATCCAATTACTTGAGGCAGAGAGATAATTACAGAAAATTAAAAATAATGCGGTGCTGGAGACAAACCAAATGGCTAGAATAACATGATAGGTATAAGAGTCACATGCCAAGAGTTTGGATGTTGTGTGACTTCTGACCTAGATTGGGCAGAATCATAGAATTTTTGTAATGCAGAAGGAGGGCTGTTTGGCCCATCATGTCTGTACTGGCCCTGCAAAGAGCATTCTGATTTTGTATCATTTTCCTGCATATTGTTTCTTCCCAAATTCCTTCTTGAATGGTTGAGTTGAACCTGCCTCCACCACATTTCCAGGCAGTGCATTCCACACTACAGCTACTTGCTGGGTGAGAAATCAGTGCCTTCTGGGCCTCAATCCTTTTGCCCTTTACTAAGAATCCAAGAGCAGACCGTTTGGCCCCTTACGCTGATCCTTGATCTCAACTTCATTTTCCCATATCTCTCAATTCCCTGAGGGACAAGGTATCATGGTGGCCCAGTGGTTAGCACTGCTGCCTCCCAGCACCAGGGACCCGGGTTTGATTCCACCCTCGGGTGACTGTGTGGAATTTGCACATTCTCCCTGTGTCTGCATGGGTTTCCTCTGGGTGCTCTGGTTTCCTCCCACAGTCCAAAGATGTGCAGGCTAGGTGGATTGGCCATGCTAAATTATCCAGGGGTGTGTAGATTTAGGTGGGTTATGGGGGATGGGTCTGGGTGGGATGCTGTGAGGGTTGGTGTGAACTTTTAGGCTGAAGGTCCTGCTTCCACACTGTAGGGATTCTATGATCTATCTATCCCAACTTTAAATATACTCAGCAGTTAAACAGCCTGCACCTTCTGAAGAATTCCAAAGATTCACAACTCTCTGAGTGAAGAAATTTCTCCACATCCTGGGCCTCAATGATAATGCCCTTACCCTGAGACTGTGCCCCTTGTTCTAGGCTCTCCATCCAAGAAGAAACACACCTCAGTGTAACCCTGTCAAGCCTCTCATCTCTTTAATGTTTCAATGAGATCACTTCACATTGAAACATAGAATCATAGAATCCCTACATTCCCCCCCAGGGGACCCCCTGTAAATACTGACACACTTCTCTGCCCCCAGCCCCAAGAGAGCCTGGGAAATACTGACATACTCCCCCTGGGGACCCCCTGTAAATACTGACACACTCCCCCCCAAGGGGCCCCCCCCGTAAATACTGACACATTTTCCCAACCCCCAGGGAGCCCTGTAAATACTGACCCACTGCCCATCCCCCTCACCCAGCACCTCCTGTAAATACTAACACACTCCCCCTGGGGACCCTCCTGTAAATACTGTCACACTTCCCCCCCCCCCCCCGGCCCCCCTGTAAATACAACCCCCCCCCCCCCGGGGGCCCCCCTTTAAAAACTTTCCCCCCCCCCCCCCCCCGGGGACCCCTGTAAATACTGACACGCTCCCCCTGGGGACTCCCCTGTAAATACTGTCACACACACCCCCGGCACCCCCTGTAAGTCCTGACTCTCTCCCCCCAGGGACCCCTTGTAATACTAACTACCTCCCCACCCGTGGACCCCCTGTAAATACTGGCACACTCCCCCTGGGGACCCCCTGTAAATACTGACACACTCCCCCAC